TGTCCACGTAGTAGTTGGGATTGGGGCCGGCCCCTCAGGAACAGAACTTCTTACGCCTAAACTTTCAGCCAACAATAGACAGAGCCCTGGTAAGCATTGGGCTGCTAACTGCAAGGTTGGTGGTTCAAAACCACTAATCCTTCCTTGAGAGAAAGGTGAGCCTATCTGTAAAGATTTACAGACTCAGAAACACATACAGGTTGCTATGGAGCCCTAGTGGCACAGTGGTTATGAATTAAGCTGATAATTGCAAGGTCAGCAGTTCGAAACCGCCAGCTTCTCTGTGAGGAAAAAGATAAAGTTTTCTACTTCCATAAAGAGCTTTAGTCTTGGAAACCTACAGGGTCACGATTGAGTTGGAATTGACTCAACTGTTGTAGGTTTATAAGGTGAATATTAACATGAGATATAGGTAAATATTCCTTAGAACAGTCAAATGTTTGAGATCAAAAGGATGACATTTGTTCAAGGGCCAATGTCAGAAGGTTGGGAGAGCTAGGAAAGAAATTAGCATGGAAACCGGAAGCTCGAGGAGGAAGTGGGACCAGTTGATGTTACATTGTGGGGATGAAATTAAACTAAATATGCATGACTTGTTGAACGGAAAAGCCATCTGTTCTGAACACCTTTATGATTCACACACAAAGAAGGTAAAAATAAATAAATTAAATTAAGTGAAGAAACAATTAGGGAAATTTGAACAATGGCTACATTAATAGTTCATTTTTCTTTATTTTATTTTTTCCAAGTGTAGTAGTGGTATGTGGCTATGTTGGGTTTTTTTTCTTTTAAGCCCCTTTTTGAAATATGTATCTTTATATTTACAGAAAATGGTATGTCTAGGATTTGCTTCAAAGAAGTCCAGTGCTGGAGGAGGCTTGTGGGCATGAACAGAGAAGCAGCAAGATTGGTTGGCTTTGAGTTGGCAAATGAGAAAACTGGCTTATAAGGATACAAAATGCTCTACTTTGGGATATAGTTGAAGTTCTTCGTGATGAAAGGAAAAGAGAACAACATGCCTTGGTTATAGCTAACGATAGGCACTGCTTTGTGCTTCTGGCTCACTGATTTGTGCTTTAGTGTTAAATCACAATAATCATTCTTATGCTTTTCTGCATTTTCCAATTTTCTAATACATGTTCTTAGGCTCCTCCCTATATATGCTCCCACTGGGGCCTCGTGGCTCAGGTGTTCCTGGGTAGAACACGCTCCTGTTCATTTCCAAACAAGCTGTGCTTTCAGTTACTGTTTCCCTGAAAATAAGACAGTGTCTTCTATTAATTTTTGCTCCCAAAAATGCGCTAGGTCTTATTTTCAGGGGATGTCTTATTTTTCCTCCATGAAGAATACGGTACACATTTATTGTTGAACAACAAAAAAGGAAATTTATTACCTGTATCTGGTGCAGTAGTAGTTGTCATCACAAACCAACATAACCGACAAACTGTGAATTCTACAGTATCAAGAATTTCTTGTTACTACCATTATTTCCATATACAGCAGTCTCTGGTACATTTACTCATTTATTCAATGACAGTCATGTCATCATCTTCTGGAACATCATCATAACAATCCAAACCCTTATTTTCGGGGGGATGCCTTATATTTCAGCGAGAGGCAAAACTGTAAGTAGGTCTTATTTTGGGGGATGTCTTACTTTCAGGGGAACAGGGTAGGAGCTGAGGAGATCTGAGTGACAGAGGGGTAGCCCAGTCAATCCTGCACCGTCCAGTCGGTTCCGGCTCACAGCCGTCCTCTGCACAACAGAAGGAAACACGGACCAGGCCGGCCCCCTCCTCACAATTGTCCTTAGGGTTGAGCCCAGCGGTGCAGCCACGGAATCAACCCATCTTGTTCAAGGGCTTCTCTTTCTCGCTGCCCCGCGATGATAAATGTGTGCGCCAAGAGCTGGGAGGAAACTATTTTAATTGTGCTTCGTTGCCAAAGCGATCAAACCCTTCTAGTTCCGTGGCAGAATTCTCTCTTCTGTGCCATACATAGACTCTCCCCAAGAACGTTCGGTCCTACAGAGGTCCAAGATGAACGTGAAGGAGGGCTCGTTTCTGTGGCACCTCTACCTGGACAAAGTCTACTGCTTGCTATCCGTGAGAAATGCCAAGGCCTTGCTGGACTATTTCAACCTTCTCGATGTGCACCACAACAACACCCTCAACGGTCAGTAGTGCCCCGGTGTGCACTGGGTCTTCGTTCATGGGCAGGTGCACCTGGCAAGACCTGTCCACCAGTTAGGTCACACACATTTGTTTGAGCTTTCCTCATGGGCCACAGGGAGCTGAGCAGGGCGGGTGGCCCGGGCTCTGGCGGCAGGCAGCCTGTGTCTGATGGCGGCTCCATTATTCCTGGGGGATCCGGGCCATGCGTTGTCGGTGTCGTGAAGGCTCGTTTTCTTCATTTGCAAAGAGACTTCTCAGCACGGAGTCCATCTCTAGTTCTCACACATGAGGATTACATAAGATACTGCATGGGAAAAGCTTAGTGCTTCATCAGGATTTCATACGTGTGTGTTCCCATAGTGGTTTCCTTGTGCAGGCCCTCAGGCACGAACTGGGGCCCCTCACCATGACTTGATTTCCCATCTGTCAAGTCAGGGGTTTGGATCAGGTGGTCTGTAAGGTTTCTTCTAATTCTTCCTACTTGTAAGTGACCCAAAATATTGAAGCTCTAGGAGCCCAGTGGGTGGTGTCGGATTAGTGTTGGAGTGCTTGCTAACTAGGAGGTCAGGGGTTCAAACCCACCAGCAGCAGCATGGGAGAAAGATGAGGCGGTCTGCTTGCATTCAAGTGGATGGCAGTGGGTTGTGAGTTGGATTAGTTCACAACCAGGCAAAGATTTTAAGTTATCATACCTTAGCATATTCTAGGTTCTTTTTCGCCTGCAGGGGCCTGTGAGTTGGGATGGATGCGACAGGGGTGGCTTTGGGTTGGGGGTTTTGTCGGGTGATTCATTCTGACCTTAAAGAAATGAGAGTCCTTTGTGAGTCTAGGGTTGCTTTTTGTTTTGTACACAAAGATTTTCAAGAGTCCATTCAGAAGAAAACGAAAAACAAGAGAACACCTTCTCATACTTTTAGGCCTCAGCCTTGCTCTTGGCAGATGGATTTCCACTCGAGGTGTCTTGGAGGTAACCCCACCCTAGGCAGCTGCAGGGTGCCATGCTGTAAATAGCCAGGTTGGGGCTCATGCCAGGGCTTTCGGACCCCAAACTGTCTCACTGGGATGTCTGCTGAGATGACTCTGATCTACCCAGGGATCAACCACTCCCCCAGAATGCAGCTCTCTAAGAAATGAGATCATGTCCATGGCTTCTGATCACCCTGAAGTGAGTCACAGCCTCCAGAAACTCCCAGGGGCAGTTCTGCTCTGTCCTGTAGGGCCGGTCTGAGTCAGAATCAACTGGATGTCGGCGGAGTTGATTTTTAGAGGCACGATGAAGCCCTGGTGCTGCTGAATAAGCACTGGACTAACATCCGCAAGGTTGGCAGAAAAAGCACCCGCTGAGATGAGGGATCTGTTCCCATCAAGGTTTCCAGCTATGGAAACCCTCTATAGACCTGACTGGGTGGCAGTGGGTGCAAAGCCCTGTCTGTCTCTGTGGCGCTGTGGTAGCTTGTGTATTGCTAGGATGTGGGAAGCGATGCCACTACAATTGCCAATGGCAGCAGGTTCCCTAGGTTTCAGGACAGCTTCCGGACAAAGAAGAAAGATGTGGTAATCTTCTCCCAAAAATTAAGCCGATGAAATCCCGGTGGCTCACGACAGAATTTTGTCTGGAAGGCACTGCCAAGACACGGGCTGCAACGACCGACGTGCGCACATGCCGTTGTCGAGACGGCACGGGCCTGGACAACATTCCGTGGCGGTTGCCGTGAGCTGGAGCTGACAGCATGGACCACAGCGCGGAAGGCCCTCAAGGAGATGGGTTGCCACAGGCTGCAGCCCCGGGCTCAGGCACAGATAGGACCTGTCGAGAGGCTGGTGCAGGACCGGGCAGCGTCTCATTCTATTGTGCACAGGGTCGCTGCAAATCAGAACCGAGCACTCAACAACACCATCACCACACTGAAAAGTTTCCCAAGTAGCAACCCCACAAACACCCCTCACTGTGAGGGTGCCCTGTTCTCCCCAGGTGCTCACCCACGGTGGGGCACAGAGAAGGAACATCAGGAGACCATCAGAAGCCCCCACAGCGTGCTGTTGTGCCCACTGGCTCAGGGGCTCGGGGCTGTCTTCAGCTGGGACTCCAAGTTACACAGCTGTGTTCAGGGTGAGTTCTTCAGTGGAGCCACATCTAACGCAGGAGCTCGTGTCCAGGATGGAAGGGTGCAGGGAAACCACGTGTGGACAGTTATAGAATAATCCTAAAGATTCATTCGTCTCCGTCAGCACTTCTCCAACTGTATGGGTTTGCCCACACCCTTGTGGATCATATGAACATACAGGTTCTGATTCCGGAGACGTGGAGGGCTCTGACGGCCTGCTTTTCTGACCAGCTCCCAGCTGGTGCAGATGTGGCTAGGAACCCCCTTCAGTGGCCCTACACAGACAGTATCTAAATGTATGTCTCTTCCACCTCATGCCCACTGAGGCCCAATTGAACGGGATGTTGGGCAAACACTTTTCCTGTGCTTTGAATGAAAGCGTGCCCCACGCTGAATGCATTCAGCGGAATACAGAGTGATTGATGCGCAGGGAGAAGGGCCCTGGTGGCCTGGTAAGTTAGGCGCTGGGCTGCTAACCACACCATGCTAGTCGAGCCCACCAGCCATTCTGCAGGAGGAAGATGCTTCTGCTCTAATAAGGTTACAGTCTCGGCACCAGCTGCGAGCACATGCCGAGCGGGCACACTGACCATGGCCTCCAAGTGCCCCTAGTGTGACAAGACCTTGCACTTTGCTGTAAAGATGAGCTCCCTGGGCAAGACTGGCATAAATTCTGTCTCAAGTGTGAGCGCTGTAACAAGACATTGACACCAGGTGGCCATGGCGAGCGGACAGGGAAACCCTTCTGCCACAAGCCTGCATGCCACCCTGTTTGGGCCAAAGGCGTGAGCATCGGAGGAGACGTTACCTACATCTATGAAAACCCCCAGCGGAGGGGCTCCAGGTCTCTGGTCCTGTTGAGGTCCCCGTGACCCGTGATGAGGCTCGGAAGGTCAGTAGCCCGCCCAAGGGGCCCAGCAAAGCTTCCAGAAAGTTTCCAGCATCACAACGTTCCCTGGCGAACCCAACAAGTGTCCTCACTGCAACAAGAGGGTCTACTTTGCCGAGAAGTTGATGTCTCTGGGCAAGGGCTGGCACTGACCATTCCTGTGCTGTGAGCACTGCAGGAAGATGCTGATCCGACCCCCACCCCCACCCCCCGGGGGAGGGGGGCACATGGAGCATGATGGCCACAAGCCCTGCTGGGGAATTCTCTTGGGACTCAAGGGCGTGGACACAGGGGCTGTGGGGCGCTACATCTACAAGGAGCGGGACCCCGAAGGCAAATTCCTCCGGCCCTAGGCACCACTTGCCTCTGCCCTGACTGCTGGCCTACTGCCCTGCTCCCTGGGGGCTGCCCAGCGAGGGCTGCCTGCAGACCAAAGCACCAGAGTTGTTGGGAAGGACTCCCGGTGCTATCTACCGATGAGACCCCCATGTACCCCCAACGAGCTGTCACCCCAAGTCCCTGGGGGTCCTCCCATATATATTGAATATCTGTGTGTGTCCCTGCCCTCCAATATCCCACAGATATGCCCCATGCCCCCACATACCCGTGTCCATCTGTCTCTGTGTGTCCCCATGCGTCTTCTTGTCTCCTGTGTCCTCCACCAGGTCTCTCAGAGATGGTCTCTCCTCCTCCTTCCCCTGCTGCCCCAGGGTGAGTTATGCTCCCTTGAGCTATGTTCTCAAAGCGCCTGCAGGCACACCCTCGGCCCAGCACCCACACGGCCCCACAGCCCTCACATGGGCAGACACCACACTGACCAGACTTCTGTGGTCGATAAAGAGTTTGAGAATCGGGGGAGGAAAAAAAAAAAAAAAAGTACAGTCCCAGGAATCCCCAGGGGCTGTTCTACTCTGTCATAAAGGGTTGCTGTGAGTCGGAATCAGCTCAAGGGAGGCAAGTTTGAGTTTGTGGAATGCACAAAAGAGGCCAAAGAGCACAAGCTGTGGCATCAGAAAGACCTGCCTTTGAGCTCCAGCTCTGCGTCTCACCATGGGAGGCAGGTCTGTCTCCCAGGACAACAGTATCCACATCATCCGGAAATTAGAACCCCGGAACCAGGCAGAGTGTCCCAAACCAGAACGCGATGTTTACAAGACCCACAAAGAACTGGTGTAACAGCACCGAGAAGTACTGGCATGTCCTAGTTAGTATCTGGGACTTAACGATAAAAGGGAGTGGTTACACAGGGGTGAAACCACTCAGGAGCTAACCAAAAGGCAGGTGGTTCACACCCGCCAGTTGGTCCATGGAGAAACGAGGTGGCAGTCTGCTCCAATAACAATTCTACAGCCTATGGAACCGCACAGGCGCAGCTCCAGTCTGTCCTGAGGTCGCTGGTGGTCACAGCTGGGCTTGGTTTGCATTATAAAGGGGGTGTGATACCACCTGCTCAGTTGGGTAGTCAGGGTCCAAGGTGATAGGGCATTTAAAGTGCTTGAGGGATCAGGCATTCAATAATGTTAGTTCCCTTCTCCCATAGCATTTCTTTATGTTTTTACAAACTTAAGGAATATCAATACCTTCATAGAAGAGGAATGAGGTCTTTTTCTAAAGTTCTCTAAAGTTTTAATTAAGAGGGAGGAAATGGGGAGCGAATAGCGATGAGTCCAAGAATGGACTAATGTTTAGACAATGTTCTAAAGCTGATTGTGGTGATGAGTGTCCAACTCTTCATGATGTGAGTGAGCTCTTGAATCATATGATATGCAAACCATATGCCATCAAATCCATTCGGTATCCTGGCAATCCATGGGTATCAGGGTGGAATTATGCTCCAGAGGGCTTTTTTTTGGCGGGGGTGGGGTGGGGGTGGGGGTGCTGTTTTTTAATTACTGTGAATTGGCGGCAGGTTTACAGAGCAGACCAGTTTTCCATGCAACAGCCCATACACAGTTTGTTTCATCCCACGGATTGCAATCTCCACCAGGTCACACCACACATCCCACACTCCTGTGTGTCCTGTTCCCATTCCTCCTTTCCTAGCCCTTCTAAACTCGGCCGTGGGCAGATGCTGCCCTTTTGAGGTCAGATGTCTGGTCGTTCTAAGGAGTGCACATCTTCTAGTGTTATCTAGAATGGAGCAATGGGAGGTGGGGGAGGGGGGCGGTCAGCTCCAGACCTGAAGTATGATGAAGGGACCGTCATCTCAGGGGTTCCACGACTCTACTCAACCGGTAAGCCTGGTCTGGATGATGCTGAAATTTGCTTCACATCTGCCTCCCACTTTTTACAGGACCTTCTACTCTGATCCCTTTCGGAATAGTTGGTAGCGGGAGCTGGGCACCATCTATCTGGTTGTGCTGGTCTCAAGATCATGGAAGTTGATGTTTGTTTAGTACATTGGTCCACTGTATTGTTTCCATGGGTCTTCAATTTTCTTTATTCTTCCTCCAATCAGGGAGCTACCATGCGATGCACCTTAGAGGGTTGCTCACAGTTTCTTAGGACTCTAGTCACTACTCACCTAAGTAGCATGTAGAACACTGCCTTTGGGAACCATGTTATGCCAACAGGCTTTGGTGTCTCCTGAGACTTATGGCCCTGAGCCTCCAGGCCCAGGGATCCATTCTCAAGGTGTTTGGTTATATCTAAGAAGTCTTTTATTACATATATGTCTTTTATAATATATATATATCCTTATATTTGCAGCAAAGATAAATACACAAGTAGACATATCCCCATATCCTCTATAGTCCCCCACTCTTCTATAGGGTTTTTCAATGGCTAAACATTTTTGAAAGTAGGTTGCTAGGCCTCTCTTTTAAGGCACCTCTGGGTGGATTTGAACCATCAACCTTTTATTTAGTAGCTGAGTGCTTCTCACTGTTTGTACCACCCAGGGCAAGGTGCAGACCGAGTCTGGAACTGTCTACGGAAGTGTCATAGGAGGCCAGAGAATTAAGCTCTCCTTCCACACACAGTAGCCTAGTGGATACGGGAAGGGGCTGGTAACCGCAAGGCCAGCCGTTTGAAGCCATCAGCTGTTCCTGGGGAGAAAGATGAGGCATTCTCCTCCTGTAAGTCACCACCGTCTTTGGAAGCTGACAGTCATTCTACCCTGTCCTATAGGGTCGTTATGAGTTGGCATCCACTTGATGGCTGTGAGTTTGGTTTTAGTTTTCCGTACACAGCTTGATCTGTCGGTTCCTACCTGGCATGGTATCAGTTAGATATACACACCTGTCCACTCCAGCCATGTGAGCAGGGTCAGCACCCAAGCCCAGTTTCTATCTCATCCTCCACAGCACCTAGCGGTGCTTTCCCACCGAGCTCAAGGGTAATGAATGTTGGAAATTCATCAAACCCAAACCCACTGCCATCCAGTCGATGCCAACTCATAGCCACTTTACATGGGGAGCAGCCAGCCTCACCTCTGTTTCTCAGCAGCTTAGCAGCCCAGCGCCGACCTGACACTGACCCCCGGGCTCCTATGGAGTTGAGAGAGCTGGGGGAAATGCTTGCAGTCATGAAGGGGATAGTGCCAAAGCCAGAAACCGAAGCCTTTCCAGGTCAGTGAGCTTTCAAAATTACTGCCACATCCGTAGCTTTCAAGAAGCCCAGGTGGCGCAGTGGGTACGTGCTTGAATCTGAGGTCTGCCGTTGGTTCCAGGAGCCCCGCTGGGGCAGTTCTGTGCTGTCGCCCAGGGTCGCAAGGAGGAGGAATCGACCCAATGGCGACCAGCAACAAGGTGCTTCACATGTTCACAGGGTGGCTTCAGAACAACCCACCTTCTCGCCTCCCCCTTACAGACGTGCTGTTCTTTCACTTCCTCCACCACGTGACGAACCTGACCAGGTCACAGATCATGAAGACATTTGACATGCTGGACTGGAACGCTTCGGGCGAGGTCAGCTTTGAGCAGTTCTACATGTTGGTCTGTATACTGCTGGCACATCAGGCAAGTACCCAGTGGGGATCGGGGGCAGAGGAGGAAGCGCTTGGCTGCCACCAACGGTGGGCTCGTGGTAGCTCTGAAGGAAGAAGGCAGCCCGACTTTTCTTCCTTTCCACTAAAAACAGTAGGAAGAAAACACCAGAGACTCATGTTGGTTCCCAAATGGTCCGTCCATCCCCTAGAAATACTCCACATCATCCACTCAGCCTCTGCCCTCGGCCCATCTCCAGGCCCCCACAAGGCCTCCCTTTCTAGAGCCAGCTCTCACACCGGCAGGGCCCTGCTTGGCTTCTCCTTCCTGGCTTGGTTTGTCTGATGATCCTTGAGCATCATCGCAAGTGCCTTCTTCCCTTTTCTCAGTGAGTTCTCTGAAGGGGCAGATGACAATGACGGTGAGGAGACAGGCTCTTTGTGAGTTCCTGCCTTACGGTAGCCCCCCTTTTAGGGTCATATCTAGTCACCTACTGCCCACTCCGTGAGGACAGGGACCTTGTTCAGCCATGATGCCTCACGGGGCTATTTCACTGAAACCTAAGGACCTGCACGGAGGTGACTCCGGTCCTGCGTGGCAGCATCAATTACTCCAGAGGGAAGGAGGCTCCCTTGAATGCAGAAGGTACAGCAGGGCTTGCTGCACTGGGGACAGAATCCTATCCACCTATAGCTTCTATGATCGTGCCTTTTGCCTCTCTAGGAAATACATGAGGGAGTATGTCTTGGAGGAACATGCTCAGAAAATAGCACCCACAGCATTCATGTCTCTCTCTCTCTCAAAACAGAACCATTTGAAAGAGCAATTTCTTTATCGCCACTCCCGGCCGATCTTCGAGCTGCTTGACCTGGATGGGGACCTGAAACTTGGCCCACAAGACTTCCAGTTGTTCAGCTTTCTCTTTGACATTAAAAAAAAAAAACTCAAGCAGCTCTATGAAGATTTTGACTTCACCGGTGACCATGTGAGTGAAGCCTCGGAAACGGGCATGTGTCTCTCGGCACCAAAGCGGAGGGCTGGGTCCTGCTATCTACAGTGCAGAGGGGAGAGGAGGAGGGCAGGAGAAACTATCAAGTTGGCACACTGTGCAGTGCCAAGGTCAAAAGGAGCCCTTGGGGGTGGGGAATGGGAAAGTATTTGGCTGCTCACTGAAAAATTACATCCTTGGAAACCCTATGGGACAGTTCTACTCTGTCCCTACAGGGTTGCTATGAATCAGCATCTCCTCGATGTATAGGTCCATAGAGATGTGACTGAACACAAAGTGCAGACACAGGATGAGAGGAATGCAGAAGTGTCCAGAAGGAAATATAGTGATACTTTGGTTGTCGAACTGGTCCAAGCTAGAATTTTCCACGACGTGAATGGCTAAGATAAAAAAAAAAATCTGCTCGGTATTCCTAACTGCTCGATAGTCAACCAAAAATCTGACTTGTAAAACCTGTATGGGCCGGGAGTGAGTCACCTGTCCTGTCTTACCACAGGCACACAGGGTGACGCTGCAGTCTACGTGATGCTCAGATAGCCATCGTGCTTTGTTAGTGCATGAAAACATTCCTCATTATGCTTTTTACATTCCTGGTGCTATATTTGTGTAAAATGTAATCATTTCATTTACTGTATCGTGTTTTGATATTTAATGTACTGTATTTGTTGGCTTCAGATGTTTTAGGGGGCATTTCCACAACCCAGGCCTGTTAAGTTTGTGTTAAAGTCCTGGAAAACCATACGTGCAGCTCTCAACGTTGTTGGTGTTCAAACCAAACACGACTGGAATGAAATGAATTTGACACCAAGGTTTCACTGCCTATCAACATGGCGGCAGTTGGTGTCAGGGCGTTAGAGGTGCGGAGAGGCAGACAGGAAAGGGTCATGATGGGGTAAGAGCTACGGGGAAGGCAGTGAATCCTCTCAGGATGATCGAGTCTATCCTGGGAAAGCAAGTGGGAGCCAAAGTTGACAAGGAGGGGCAATCACCCCGTGAAAGACGTCAGAGGCCAGCCAGAAGTGTCCAGCCTTGGCCAGCATGGAAAGAGTAAGAAAGTGATAGTTGGTTCCCTTTGAGCCTGTACTATTTCTCCACTGTTGCTGGGTATTAGACTACAATCATGTCCTATCGACCAGGCTGCTTCAAGTTTCCAAGGTCTCCATGGGAAATGATTATAATTTGCTATTATCTGAAGCAAAGTATTAAATCCTCCCTGAAATGATCTTTCTTTTTCTTTCTACACAAGCATATCAATTACAAGGAGTTTAAGCTGTTTACTATCTTCTCTGTTGACAAATATCACGAGAGGCAAAAAGCTGAGAAAGAGAAAGAGAGAGAGAAAGAGAGGAAGAAAGAGAGAGAGAAAGCGAGAGAGAAAGAGAAAGCGAGAGAGACAGCCAAAGCCAAAGAGAAGAAGTCTAAGCCCAAAAAGCAAACGCCTCATGAAACCAAGCTTCCCCCAAAGGCTCCTCTTGGGAAAAAGGCACTGGGAAGTAACAAATGACATGAACATTGTGAACCTTGGTCTAGCGGTAAACTCAGAACAATAAACCTAGGCCATCTTGCTGCCGATTTTTACTTACAAAGAGACCACGTGAGAGCTCTTTTCACCAGCGGCTTCTCTATTGACCTCAGAATCCACTGGGAACAACCTTGTCCGCATGTCCTGCCTCAGTTGTTCTTTTCCAGATCACATCTGTTCACTAGGTCTATGGTTACCCAAATACTTACCGATACTTACGAGAGACTTTCCTATTTGTTACTCGTGACCCAAGACCCTCGGAGTCTTCCCCATGCTTCCAGTCCTTGGGTGGAGACACCTGGGTGGCAGACATGTCAGAGTGGCTGGCAGTGAAGACCCTCTGATCAGAAAGGAGAGAGAATGATACGGATGTGGGGCTTACGCTCATCCTAGAACCCGAGTTACTCTCAGATGAACTACCTGCCTGCGGACTATACCAAATGTCCCGGGGTCAGAGGATTGTATGCCCTTTTGTGTGATAACGCCTTGATTTTTTGTTTCTTTTGGCATGAGACCACGATTCCTCCCTGGCCCTGTCATATGAATGATAACCATCGTTGGTTACATGGTTGGTAGGGTGACTGGTTTACATCCCTAGCTTCATTTAGCCTTGCAACTCTGCCAAGCAGGTGTTCTGAGCCTCAATTATAGGGGGGAAATTGGGGCCAGCAGAGACTAAGCACCATCCAGAAATGCCTAACTTACTAGTGGGAGAGTCAAGATTCACATGTGAGGTTCATGGCAACCTTTGCTTACAACTAGGGAGCTGAGTAACACACTCCAGTTAGCAGCAGCAGTTCACGTAAGTCTTACGCTGGCATTTTCTCACTGCCATCGAGTCAATGCCACCATACAGTGACCCCACAGGGTAGGGGAGAGCTGTCCTTGTGGGTTGAGGCTGTAACTGCTGATGGGAGGGCATGGCTCAGAAATCCCTCTTGCGACATGCTGATTAATTCCTTTGACTCCAAATTTCTGAGGAACAAATTAGGGGGATGAGAGATGCATCACACTACAAAACCCTAGAGGCCTCCTGGAAAACCTCCTCCTAGGTGTAGATGTTTCTGAAGCTATGTTTCCATCTAACTAACCCTCCCCCGAAAACAACCCGTGTGCTTTCCAAGTGACATCATCCAAATGGCAATTTTGGCATGCTTAAGGGACTTGAATTGTGTTCCGTTTACATGTTCTTTGCATTTAGGGCATAAAAAGTCTGAGTGGGCAAGATCAGGGTTGTAGGGGGGTGGGGTGGGATCGTTTCCCAGGGAATTCTCAAGGACAGTCCTTGCTTCCCTTGAGGAATGCGCGGGTGTGCTGTGTTGGAAAGAACTTCCTGGGCTTCATTTTCCTGGCCTTTTGCTAACCAATACAATCTCCCGCCCTCTGAAAAACGCCATCTTCAGGCAGGCCCCACACTCATCTGGTGTCCTTTGAGAGTCTATCAACGTTACCCGTTTGGAATCCCCCAAAGCCACCATCACCTCCTGAGCTACCTCTCTGTCGGGAGTCCACCTGGCCCGTGGCCCTCTCGGGAGGGAGGCACTGTGGTGAGGCGCGGAAGTGAGGAGGGTTATGCCTGAGAGAACTTGTCTGCAGCCACCACTGACTGTAGAGACATTTTAAATCCTGCTTGGCTGGAGTGCGCTGCTGTGCACGAATGGACCGGAACCCGAGGAGCAATAGACACGCATCCATTCACGTACCTCCAGACAACGCATGTCCCAGAGACCCCATGGGTACGTGAACGAGTCAGTAGGCACTCAGTGAGTCCTACAGTACCCCGTAACAAAAATAAAGTTTGATTACATTTTTGTGTGCGCCACAGATCTGACCAATATCACGTTTCTAAGACTGTCATTCATGTGAAGGGAGATGTTTAATAGCAATCGTGTTAGATAATCACAGTGAGTTAGTTAATTGTGCCAGCCTGGCCGATAATCACATGTGGTGCTGGTTGAAAGGCGGAGGGATAAATGGGTGGTGGAGCCTCGCCTTTCTTGTTCTCGGGTCTCTTGTTTTGTGATGGTTGCATCGGGTGCAGCTGCCTTAGCAATCCCCTGCTTCAGCTTGCAAGAATGACTTCCTACAAGACATCCCCAAGGAGAAGCTACATGGATCTATCCCGATGCAGCCCCGGGTGCTGGAGCAGCCATGTGGAGAGCCCTGCCAGTGCTGAGATGCTTGTTCGTTCACTGACTCAGCTTTCCTCCTGCAGTCGGCATTATTGCCTCTGTTGTGTGAGGTGGAGGACTTTGTGGACTGGTGTTGGGTTAATGGGTTAATGTTGGACTTGTGGGCTTGGGCAGCATTGGGTTGGGATGTTTTCATGATGCACCTTTTCTTTACATAAAACTCTCTCTTATACGTGAGTCGCCATGGATTTGTTTCTCCAAAGTACCTAGACTAATACACACAGTAAAGACTTCCCCCCCTTCTCACATGTGTATTGTCCAAACTGAAGGGAACTAGCAAAAAAACCCCAAAAGAGAACCCAGGCCACACCTAATTCCCTCTGCCCTCTGGCTTGCTCACGGAAGCAGTGGTGTGTCTCCTGGATTGTGTGAAGACAAACAGATGCTGCAGCGCCTCTTACTTGGAGCAAGTCACTTCCCTTCCACTGGTGAGGTGACATTTGCAGTTAGGCACTGAGGATCAATGACCCTCTGCCAGTAGGTATAGAGAACAGGGCACTGTCGTGACACGCATCCAATCTGGCTGGGAAAGACAGTGGGAGATCAGCCCCTCCCACTGACTACAAGGGCCCTCTCTGCCCAGCTCTTTGCCTCGCTGGATGACCATGGCGTTAGGATCTGGTGTAGCTCGGGGAGAAGAAACTAGAGGACTTACTCAAAATCCCAATTCTGACCAGTGGCCCTATAGGTCAGAGTGGACCGGCCCCATCAGGTTTCTGAGGCTGTAATATCACAGCAGACTGCCAGATTCCCCCTGCATGGTGGCTGGCGGGGTCAACCCTCCCTTTACATTAGGAGAGGCGCACTTGAACCATGACACCAGCAGGGCTCCTTAGGAACAGGTATAAACACCAAAACTCTTATCACTGAGTTGATGCTGACTCTTAGAGACCCTATAGGATAGGGTAAAACTGCCCTGTAAACTTCTGGGACTGATGAACTCTTTACAGGAGTAGAAAGGCCCGTCTTTCTCCCAAGGAATATCTGGTGGGTTCAAACTGCTGACCTTTCAGTTAGCAGCCCAATGTGTAATCAATATGGCACTAGGGCTCGTCAGTAACTAGTTGACATTCACATGGGTCACATAAATTAATCTTAAGTTACATCTGAGGACTGAAGTTTCAGGAACTAATAAGTGGTCTAGTCGCCGCCTCTGTATGAGTTTCTAGAGCTGTTGTTAGGAATTACTGCAGACAGGGTGGTATAAGGCAACAGACCCATTCCCACTGCTCTGGAAGTCAGAAGCCCCAAATCAAAGTCCCGGAAGAACAGGATCCCTCCCAGCCTCGGCCACCTTCTGGCAGTCTGTGCCACGTCCTGGCGTGTAGGTGGCGTGGCTCTGACCTCTACCTCCATGCTCACACCACTGGTCTTTTGGGTCTGCTTGTATATGCCCTGAAATCTCCCTCTTCTAAGACTCATTGGGATTAGGATCTGAACGACTCCAGTATGACCCCCTCTTCACTTGGTTACACCTGCAAAGAACGTGTTTCCAAATAAGGTCACACAGACAGATTCAGGGTAGATGTGAATTTGGGGGCTGTAGCGATGGTGGGGCACTATTCAACCCAGCATCCCTCTCTGGAAATCCATCAGGTGAATATAAAATGGATCATGAGCCAACCATCGGATTCAGAGAATGATGCTTTGTAAGAGCATTTTCATAAACTGGAGGGGGGTGGGGTGGGGTGTTTTCCATGAGGATCAGGAACATTAGTTTTGATGGCCCCAAGCGAAAATTCAGCCTAAAAACTGTAACATAATTGGACCTATAAAGCGTTAATTCTGAGGCCGAGTACAACCCAGAAAACCATCTGTGTCTACTTCAGGACTTCTCTCTCGCAATGTGGTGAAGTGAGACTAGCTGGCAAGCTTCTTCTACCCCTCGTACTTGTCACTATCACCTAATGCTTCAGAGGGAGCATGCAAATCAGGTGGAGGCTAGTGCCTCAGCCATTGGTCAGTCTTGCCACACTGCTGGGCATAAAGGGGGAGTCGTCTCAGAAGCAGGACAGCAGTGCCACAACTGTGCATAAAGACGAGCTGTTGGCGGAGCACAGGCCAGATCCCTGCCTGACGTGTCAGAGGCCCCAAAGGCTGCCACACCGAAACCATGAGACAGAGCGGAGGAGCTGTCCAGCGGCCGAGAGGCAGAGAGATGGACACCCGGGACCACAGAATAACGAAGGCTGTCTTTGGGCAAGAGGCTGTATGGCAGAGTGGGGTACCCTTTGTTTTCTAGCACACTAATCCAAGCAGGGCAGAGGCTGAGGACCAGAGAAAAAGACATGCCTGATGACAAGGCTAGGAAGGGACCCCTCAAACAAAAGGACTGTATCCGTAACACTTCTTTATCCCAACGTGTAACCTGTTAAACTTCCCTAATAAACTCCACAACCATGATATTGAGAGTTCTTTGTGGCCACTGCCACCGATGACAGACCCCACCCAAGAAGTAAGGGTAGTGGAAGGATGGCTGGTATGTGAACAGGCTAAAGGAGGGTGGAAACATGTCTGACATCTGCCTGTGGGCAGTTGTCCTTGGGTTGGTGTGGAGTAGGAGTCTCCTCCTCCCTTGTATAGTGGTTGGAGGCCAGACTTCACCTCCATGCCATTTCTCTCGATTATGTTGATTGATAAAAGTTTTAGAACATATGTTTGTAGGTTTGCATGTAGATGGATTCAACTTATTTCCACCGTGAGTTCATCTACTACATATTGCTTTTAAGTGTCAAGCTTACACCATGTACATTAAGGTATATTTTAGGTGGTCGTAGTACACTAGCCACATTAGAATTTCTTGGTCAACAAACTGTGTACTGGTAGATGAATGGCATGCAGGATTAAAGCATCAACTTAGCACTGCTACATCCTGGCCCAGGGCCCCTGGATGGGTTCTTATAGTTTGTATCAACATTAAGAGAAGAATTTAGTGGCAAGAGAAAAAAATTATCTTCACTAGCTTTTAGCTCTCATTTATCAGCACTCCTGAAGTCTCATGCCACAGATAAAGACTAGACAAAGCCAGATCCACTGTGCTGACAACGGCTGAGACAGGTATGTCATGTAGTAAATGGTGGGGGGGCCTTATCTGAGCTCCTCTGGCTACACAAGGGAAAGGGAGCATCCAAGTCCGCAGTGCCCAAGACCTATTGCCATGAGCCATCAGACATGCCTCCCCACTCCCTCCTCCTCTACCCTCTTCTGATACCAACCTCTCCTCCAGCAGCCAAGTCTCCAGTCCTTAGTCTCCAAGCCACTCTGTGGACCAGGAAGCCTGCCTTGCTAATCAGCCTCACCATTCCCATATGCTCTTCTGTTCTTTCGCAAGGTCTCCTTGCCTTCACCTTGGTCTTGCCTGGCTCCTTTGCTCTGTCCCATGTTCTCCATGGCACAGCATCTGGTCTTGGTTTCTGCTCTTTCAGAAGGCGATCTTGAACTGCTCCAA